CAGGTGTGTAACAATGGCCCGGAAAATGTCATCATTTTGTTTTTTGCCTTCTACACCGGGGGTTGGCAAACAGTTACGGGCCAAATCTCACTTACCACCTGTTTTTGTAAATAAAGTTTTATTGGAACGTAGTCCTGCCCACTTGCTTACATATTATCTATGGCTGCTTTCATGCTAAAACAGCAGCAGAATCAATTTGTTGTGGCAGATGGCATATGGCCAGTAGAGCCTAAAATGTATACTACGTGGCCCTTTATAGAAGTTTGTCAACACTATTCTGGACTCGGGTGCTGTGCTGTCCAGTATGACAGCCACTAGCCACATGTAGCTGCTGAGCATTCAGAATGCAGCTGGTGTGAGTTGAGATGTGTTATAAGTGTAAAACACATATGGGATTCCAAAGACAGTAAAAAGAAAGAAACAGAATGTAAAATATGATCGATTTTTAAATACTGATTAAATGTTGAAATTATAATATTATTATGATATTATATTATATGAGATTATAATATTACCTTACTTGTTTCTACTTTTTTTAGTGTGACTACTAGAAAATTTGATATGTGCCTTGCATTTGTGGCTCACACTATATTTCTATTGACAGTGCTGGTCTAGAGTCTGGAATTTGGGAATTTATGTGACCTCTAAAAAAAGTCAGAAAGAGGGGACATGGGGGAAGAGAAAAAAAAAAGCAGTCTCTTGTATTTGCAAATATCTTTCTAAAATAATAAAATATAATTTGGCTATTCCTCATCAGAAGAGATACTCAAAAAGAATGGATTAGGATGTCTATAGAAACAGCCTTAGGTGAATTCTTCCAGAAGCGACTCTGACTGAGAATTTGAATTGGGAGATAATTCGGAAAGCATCTGGAAGAGAGAGGGGAGGCAAAACAGGAGGGAAGGAAGACGAAGGAGGGCGTGTTCATGAGCAGGTTGCTGCTATGGACCCACGTGCTGCCTCCCTTTGGGGCGCTGTGGGAGATTTTATAGAATGAGGCTCTGAGAGGTCCCACCCAGGAGGTGAGCAAGCTGAGCTGTTTCCCCACCAGCTGCCAGTAGTTGCTGGTTGATGGCTGCTCCTAGGGGCGTCAGTCTCCCCTTACTCTTCCCAGCACCACCAGCCTGCCCTGCCTGGGGTCAGGTCAGGCACGGGTACGTGCAGGAAAAAGCCATCAGCAAGCTTGAGAACAGTGTCTGCCAGAGGCACCTCTAGTGTCTGGTACTGACACCAAACTGAATGCTTTATCCTATTTTCAACAAACATTAGCGTAGCTCCCTGGCGTATGTGTTCATCTTCTCATTTGATCTTAATAGCATAGATAGGTAGTTTCATCATTAGCCACACATTATGGATGGGAAAACTGTGCCCCAAGACATTCCCAGTCATTTGTCCAAGAGAGTATAGCTGGGATGGTGGCCCTGGTCTCCTTGCTCTGCATGTGTGATCACTCCTGCCTGATTCCTTGCACAAGGCTTGAAAAGGAGATGGAAATATATTGAAGTTTTCAAAGTGAGAACAAGAAACTAAAACTAATTTTTTTGGACTCTGTAGAATTTTTTAGCTACCCATAGAGAAATAGACACTTATATCTACTTAGTCCCAAGACTCTTACACTGAAAAACATTATCTTTCTTTTGCACAAAAGCACAATCAAACTAGAGAGGTTGCAGAATCTGCTGACCACCACACAGGATGGTAGTGATAGAGTTAAATTCCAGAAAACCTCCAGGGAAGTCCCTGTAGCGGAAGCTTCTGGATGCATGGCTCATTGAGGACTGGATTTTGTTACCTTCCCATTACCCAGGTTCTCTTCTAAAGTGTTGTCAGCCCCTTTGGTACCACTTGGAAACAAGTCTCTCTCTTGGCTTAATGTCCCTTTATTATACTTCTAACCGACTCAGTAATTCTTTGCGGGCTTCAGTAACACTTGTACTATTTAAATTTGAATAACCCCAAAGGATCTGGATAGGTCAGGGTGTTTAAACCACAGGCTTTAGTCTATGTATTAGTTGATTAAAAACAGATTTTATACATGATGTATACTTAATAAAGAGGGGGGAGGAAGCAGATGTTTGTAAAGGCTAAACGTTTTGGATTGCATTTATTTGGCCCTCTTTTGCTGACTAGCTTTAGAAAAGTTATACCTATGACAATTGAATTGTAAACAGTTAGATGATGTATTTCCTTAGAAATTTCCTGCTGTGAAGGGTCAGCCAAAAAGAAAAGTAAAAGGATTCCCAAAGATTAACACACCAAAAACAGTTGACAAATATACCTAACAGTCATATCTAAGTCAGGGACATTGAATAATGGAATGCCTCAGAATTATTCTCTAATCTTTAACCATAAAGTGATTAGCAGTTGCAGTTCATTTAATCCAAACAATAGAAATTTTTTTGGCTTTTATTGTTGTTCTTGTTGTTGTTATTAAGAGCTTTGAAAGCGAGTTTTTCTCTGTTGCAAACATGAAGTCATTAAATTGCACCTAAGTCACTCTGTCTGGCTCATTCTCTGGCCTCTTGTTGTATCCTGTTCTTTAAGTGAGAAACAGTTATTTTTCTCCTTTAAAATTCTCTTATTTGAGATGTTTTGAGTGTTTCCAAGACAAAATTGAGGATTTCTTCTTGGTTTTCCAGTCCAGATAAAATATGCATAAAACCTCCCTATAAATTCTGAACACGTGAGAATTACAGAGAAGATATTTTAAAATGTATTTTAAAAAATACACAACCAAGCTTAAACATAAGTGGAAAGTCTCCAAGGACAAGAAATGAAAGAGAGAGCAGAGTGGTGAGACGAGGCTGAAGTTGGGCTGCTCCTGAGAAGTGGAGATGAGATGGGGCAGTGGGGACCCGAGGGGACACACAAGGGATTGCACAGTACATGTGGCAGGAGCCCCATACACCCGGAGGCCAAGACTCCCCATGCACCCACTGGGCTCACAGGGTACCTCCTGCCATCTCTGGAATTGAAGCCAGACACAAAACTCTCATGGAAGGAAGCAGAGGCACTGAGCCAAACCAGGATCTGTGCCTCTGTCTCACACAGGGGTCTTGTGGGACCTCAAGCCCTAACCCCAGAGTGTGCACCTCACCTGGCTGGACTGTGTCAATCCTCAAAGCTCAGGGAACAAAGTTCACATTAGATAAGCTGTCTGACAAAAATCACAAGACACAAGATAAAATCAGATCCTTGGAAAGCATTGAGAAAACACAGGGAAATAGGGAATTGCCTTTTTTTTTTTTTTTTTTTGAAAGAGCTTAAGAATAAGTATGTTTAGTTCTCTTGAAATTATGACAAGAATTGCGTCCTTAGAACAGGAACAGAAAGTAATTCAACAGGAAAAGGGAGATGTGATTAAAAAAAAAATAAAACCTACTGGAAATGAAAGTGCAGTCATTGCAATAAAAAAAAATTAGGCAATAGGATAAACACCAGATTAATAAATTTAACTTGTTTAAGAAAAACCAGAAATTTTTGCTTCTGACATACATTTTAAGCAATAGATACAAGTGATTCTTTTCCTTAATACGCTTTTCTAAATAACAAATTTAGGGGGCCGGCCCGGTGGCTCACTGCTACAGTGCGCCGCTTGGGAGCGTGGCGGCGCTCCCGCCGAGGGTTCGGATCCCACATACAGACCGGTCGCTCACTGGCTGAGCGAGGTGCGGGCGCAGCACCGAGGGTTGCGATCCCGTTGCCGGTCCCGGTCCAGTACGGGCGTGACACTGAGGGTTGCGATCCGTTGCCGGACACCAAAAAAGACAAAAAGGAAAAAAAAAAAAAAATTTAGGAAAGCAGAATGAGCTAAAAATTTTATAAATAAATTTCACAGCATCATAAAATATTGTCACTTTTATGAAATTAATTTTTTTAAGATCTCTTGTACTCTTTCCAAATCCTCTTTCTCAGATGGCGTTCCATATCTGAGGTCTATTTTCCTTTCCACAAGATTTCCCGTTGTTCCATATCTTCACTGTGTTTGTGGAACTATCATTAAAACATAGTTTCCCTAATCCTTTGCCCTCTCACACTGGCCTGAGTTTGGCATAGGACACTGTTCTAGTCCCTGACCGTGGAGGACTCTTCGGCGTGCTCACCTCCAACTGCATTCCATCTTCCCAAGAAATTTCCACTCTTGTTCACCAAAAAGTACCTGTCCATCCTTCCAGGCTCAGCTGAAAGACTTTGTCCCCTGGAAACCTCCCTGCAGCCATCAGCTCTTCCTTCCCCTTCTCTTGTTCACAGCATCTCTTTCCCAGTTGCACCTCCATCTCCTTGTGGACAGGGAGTAGATATTTTAATTTGTTGCTTCCCCAGTATCTCTCTTAAACGCTGGCATATAGTAGAAGCTTAATTAATACTTTAAATTATTAAGCAGGATAGTGATATAGTAAATGTAGTATTCAAGAAAATTTGATCTGGCATTGCTAGAGAAAGAATAGAAGCATGAACAATGAAATATACTATGAGTATGTGTGTGTGATGAGGACTTCTTATAAATGCCTATAAGTGGCCATAGTGTCAGCAATAGCTGGACAATTCCAACCTTCCTCCAAGGGATTAACCTCAGCCTGCCCATAAAAGGGTAAGTCCGAAAAATCTAATACTAGTGATATGTGGGAGTATATTCCCTACATTATTGCCATTTCTTATTGAGATAAAAGGATAGAAATCCAATTACCTTTCTCCCTAGTTTATAGATTAGAAGGTCCTAGGTTTATGACCTAGAAGTAACCTATAATTAATGGTTCAGTTAAATATGCCTGAGTTAGTGCAAGAAGCAGGAACAAAAAGAATCAAATGTGAACATTTGTAAAAGGTTCTTTTAAACACAACTTTTGAAAATCTAGTTTAAATCTATAAATACTTGAAATTCCATCAATTTCATTGAGGTTTTTGAAAAATGTAATAGTTTTTCCTGAGTATGAGCAATTTTGTGTAGACTAAAGCATAAAAGTATGCAGAATAATATTTTTTCTCTCTTTTCTGAACAGCAAAACTTAGAGAGTAACCTCACCAACCTGATTAAGAGGAACACGGAACTGGAGACCCTTTTGGCCAAACTCATCCAAACCTGTCAACATGTTGAGGTGAGTATCTCTGTATCTCTATGTGGTATGTTTCTTATGACAATTGCTAGATCAGGGGTTTTATAGCCTCATGCTTTACACTTTTAAAATGGGAATCTTTCCAAAAATTAAATCTCTTGCAGAAGACTTACCAAAAAAAAAAAAAGCCAGAAAACGCACCGTTTAAAGGTGTTGTGTTGGTTTACTAGGGCTGCCGTTAACAAATCACCACAAACTTGGACAGCTTAAAACAAGATACTTATTCTCTCACTGTTCTGGAGGCCAGAGTTGGAAATTGAGGTGTTGGCAAGGCCGCTTTCCCTCCAAAGGCTGTGGGGGAGGACCCTCCCTGGTCCCTTCCCATCTTCTGGTGCTGGAAGCCAGTTCTTGGAGCTGCTTGGCTTGCAGTTGCAGCACTCTCTTCTCTGCCTCTGTTATCACATGGCCTCCCTATGTTCTCTGTGTTCATGTCCAAATTTCCTTCTTTGTAAAAGGACACCAGTCATTGGATTAGAGCCCATTCTACTCCATTATGACCTCGCTTTAACTTCATTGCCTCTGCCAAGGCCCTATTTCCAAATAAGGTCCCATTCTCAGGTACAGGGGGTTACAGCTTGAACATATCATTTGAGGGGACATAATTCAGTCCACTACAGGTGTATGTGAAATGTATCTTTGTTGTCTGATGTGTTTCAATGAAATCATCCACAATTGCAGCCATAGCAGAACTGCAGTGACTCTACACTACATAAGCAAGAATAGATCCAGTTCCTTTATGTGATTTTCAAAGTCCTCTTCCATCATCTCCCAACCTGTCTTTCCTGCCACCCCACCCCATGCACCAGAACTAAACAATTGCCATTCGTTATGCTTTCAAGTCTCTGGCCTTTAACCAAGGAGTTCCCTATGCCTGATAGGCCCACCCCATGTCTATTTGCCTGAATCCTTCCTGTCTATCCTCCAAGTCCCAAGCCCAGGGGCACTGAAGCTGTAAATGTCACTCTGGTTCCCTGGACCAGAGTCATCTCTCCTTTCTCTGAATCACATAACATTTTATCAATAGTTTTCCTATGGCTTTTGTCACTATTTCATGTACTGGTTCCATTTAATCAACTAGAACATGCAGTCTATGAGGATTGGGGATCGGATCTAGTCCGTCTTTGAATCTCATGGATTTTAATGCAATAGTTTTCACGCAGTTAAAGCTCAGGGAATTTGTTTTGGACAAGTATACATGATAACCTTCCAAATGGCCAATTTGAACACTATCTGAATGCTTGCAAGTTCAGCTCCCCAAAATATCTCAGGATGGAGAAGCAAATTATTTTGAGTATGCATTTTAAATTTTTGACAGCAACTCCGTTTTCCCACTAGCAATTTCTTTAAGTCCCTTTTATCATCTAATCAGTAATCATAAGTTTATAACTTCCTATGTGCCTATAACTGTGGCAGTAGATGTACAATGTAGTAAAAAATAAAGATCACAATGTGTTAGAGAACAATGTACACACACATGCTAACACAATTAAAGACCAGTAGAGTAGCCAACCAGGTGCTGAGCTCATAGAACATTGCTTTTATTTGGTCTTAAGATCTGCATTCTTTTTACAGACTAATATCTCTGAAATTGGAGTACAATTTAAAATTAATGATGGACACAATTTAATGGGCAGTATTTTTTCATTCCTACTGACACACAAAATATGGGTGAGACAATTGTTGGTATCTTTGGATGGAGTATGGTATGGAAAGTGGGGATTAAAAGAGAGAAAGAACTGAATACTATTTGCCTGAAACTTTATGGAGGAGTCAGGACTTGAGCCAGATTCTATAGATTTCACAATTACTATTTTTTAAAGTAGGTATTGGGATGCCAGCTTATTTATTCAACACAGTGGTGTTTGTCAATGATACATTCCTCAGCATAAGAGAAATTAGCAAATGATGCTTTCAGGTTGTATAGGTGTAAACACATCTCTATGATGCAAACATTGCTACTTTGATGGAAGATTTAAAATACTTTGTGTTCATAAAGTTTGTACTTTTACTTACAAGTACTCTCTTGGTGATTAGAAACTTAAAACTAGTTACTGAGAGAAACACGAGTTGGCAACTTTTCCAACTCCAAATCTGATATGCGTTTTCATGATAGTATCCAGTAGGAATAGGGTCGTTTTTCTCTCTTCTCTGAGCCATGCACTCCAGTTGTTCACCATTTGAAGTGCTGATGAGTGCAGTGTGATAGGTGGAGGGAAAGACAAAAAATACAAAAGGAAAGAAAAGGAGGACTTAGAGGAAAACGTAGGAGAGAAAGCAGATTAGAACTGTCCAGTGAGCTCATTGGTTCACGCCATAGGCCCCCCTCCTTCCAGAACTCATCATCAAGGTGGAACCAGTGTTTCCATCACGTTGGGATGAAGGTGGGAGTGTGAAGGCAGAGCACCAGCACCAGCATGTCGCAGAGCCAGACCTTTCTAACCCTTTGCTCAGACTGGATTCGCTTTTGGCAGTGATCACGCCAGGGAACATGTCGAGCCTTGTTGATTAAACAACATTGAAAATAATAGTGAACAAGCATCATGTTTTCATTATTATAGAGTAAAGTTAATATTATACAAATAAATGGATGAACAAAATGGAATGATCCATGTGCCGTGTTTTATTTTTATGATGTGATGGCATTTGATGTCTAGAACAATAAGAAAGGATTATTTTTCTTCAGTTAAAAAAAATTACCTGTGTTTTATGGTAAATCTTATAAATGCTTTATGGATTGGGTGATTATTTCATGCAATTTCAGATAGTTATTTCTTAAAGCATTAATGTGTGGTTTCCATTATGGCCTGTAATAATTTCAGAACAAAAGCCTTTCTCCTAATGCAATATTAGTATGGCTTGAATTTACAAAATGCTGTTCATCCTAACACGATGTAAAATTACATCCTATGATGCTCAGTAATTTCCAATGATAGATAAATTCAAGAAATTTACAAGCAGACTTTATTTTTAAGAGTTCGGGTATTTTAGTTGAGATACAGTCTTTTTAAATAAAGCTATTACTGAATTGATTGTGGCAGACTTGCAAATAGACACATACAGGCTGTTAGAAGTTATTCTAGACAAGGAATAAAGAATATTCATTTCTTTCTCTGTTGTTTCTGTATAAATCCTTTGAAATGAAAATAAATGGTTTGTGGGTAAGTTTGGTATTTGGGAAATTTATTCTAGTAAAAATATTTAAAGAAAATTCTAAGTAGAAAAATAATGATACTTGCAGTACCCATGTTTACATTTGTTCCCTTATTCCTAATTATTAATATTCTCAAAGTATAATTTTCAAAAGGTTGAACACCCAATTCTTATATAGTAATCAAATGAGTGTACATCAGATTTATTGAACTTATTAGTGAAGGAACCGTCTAGTTGATAAAGCTTGTCCAGAGGAGAATACCAGAAACGGATACACCTAAACCTGGGGGAAGATGGGTAGTAGGGGAAGAAGAAAACTATAAAGACATAGCTAAATTCGATACGAAACTGATTAGTGGCCTACAGATCAGTAAAGCTGTAATATTCAGACAAAATAAGTTGCATATCATCAGTTTTCTCTAAGTTAACATCTAACTTTGCAGAGTCTAAGGCTTAATCAATAAAACAGAAAGTCAAACTCAGTTACACCTCAGTGTAGAGAGTCAGATGACCCTGACTTAGGCTGGCTTCGTAGAATATGCCCTAGTATGACACTGAAGGGGCTCACAGTGTTCTCTTTATCTTATTTCCAGGTTTTGGATAATTTTGCTCAATATGACTTTCTGTTCTGGAGACTGTTGATCTATGAGCTATGTTTGTTAAACAAATCTTTCTGGGTGAGAGAGTGAATTTTTGCCTACGGTCAGTTACTTTTAAAATTTCACCCTAGTTTGTTCATTGCATTAGATGCATTAGAGTGGGGGAGCACCCACTGTGCGTGCGCTGCACTGTGACAGGTGCCAAATGACCCTGCTCGCAGGGAGCTTACTATCTTCACTGAGACGAAAGAGCACCTACAATACAATACAAAGCAGAAAACCGTAATTGCCATAAGAGAGTTCTGGGCTACCTGGGATGTCAAAGAAGTGAGAAGTGACTTCCAGCTGGCAGCTGGGGGAGGTCGCTTACAATCTCAGCCTGCCTTCAAGGGTGGGTGACATTTGGGTTTGTGGAGGGAGGGGAAAAGCACTGCTTGCAGAGCAAATAAAGGCGTGGGGATGGAAAAATGAGCAGTGTATGCACACAGAGCGAGTAGCTCATTCTGGAAAAATGAGCAGTGTATGCACACAGAGCGAGTAGCTCATTCTGGAGAAACAGGGGTGTATAGGAAGCAAGGGCGGGTAGGAACCAGCTGTGGAGAGATGGGAGCTGGGAGGGCTTGCATATTGCTCCTGAGTTTGAACTTTGGTCTTAAACGTTCAGTGAAAATTTCGCAGTCTGTCCCAAACTCTTTTCAGAAAATGATTTTTTTGATTATTGGTAAAACAATATGGATATTTTCATGCAAAACAATCACACATCCAAGGGAGAACTTCACAGCACTATGAAACTCCAAAAAGGTAGTGAAATTTGTTAGGCAACAGCATGCTATTCTTTCAAATCAGCGCAGTGGAAAAGAATTTCCTGGTTCACATCCTAGCTTCCTAGAGCAGACTTCTTCCTTTTCCTCTTTCTGAATGTGTCCTTGTATTTCGGTATGAGCATTCCTCGGGAAAATAATTCCCATGCCAGCTGGAGCTGAAAAACTCACAGCACAGAGGCAACTCCTAATTGTTGTAAATTAAATCAATGAATTCCTTCCCACGACTCTTGAGGAAATGCCACATCCTTATAAGTCCACACCACCTCCCGGGGATTCACCTCTGCTTTTCTTTAAAATAGAAAAGTTTGAAGGTCTCCCCCACCCCACCCCCGCATTGTCTTCAAAACTTCTTTCACAAATGACGGTAAGTAAATGAAATGGGTTTTTGATTGTGAGTGCCAAATCTTTT